TAGCTGAAGGATTATTTGAAATTAAATATTCTAATTTTTTTTTATTTGCATGAGGATAACCCTCTTGATTCATATTATATTCCTTCGACATTTGTTGTTCTTTTAGTATTTTTTCAATTTCATGTTGATTTACCACTTCCGTACATGCCGTGTTAGATAATTCCCATCTCTTGCTTTCTTTTAAATATTCATTAAAATCATTGCAATATGAATATTTATTTCTATATTTTTCGCATACATCCTTTATCTTATTATATACTGTCGTATATTTACCAAGAAGATCCTTATATTCACGATTACAGTACTTATCATACTTGTCTAAATCATTTTTTATGTGAACATAATCTTTTGTATAATCAAATAATATCTTAATATCCATAAAATCATTTTCATTTATATTATAATTATTATAATTACTATAATTACATATGCTCTGACCCTTACTATTTTGCAGAAAATGTTTAATCGTATCCATAACAGTATTAAAGAACATACTATTTGATAAATTACTATGTACTACATCGCCTAACCAAAAGTACAGATAATCACATTTAGGTTCATCAAATTTATTTGCCTCATTTTCATTATAAACATAACATAAAGCTTTATGTATTCTGTCGGAAACCTTTTCAATCCCAGGATTACTTTTTTCAAGATTCTTTACATTTGTGTCAATAGAAGAACAGTTGGAAGTACTAGCTGCTTTATCGAATATATCGTACATCTTTTTTGTAGGTAATTGTGCAAGTTCTTTATCCTATTAATATAAAATAAAGGATAAAATATTTACTTTTTATTTGAAGAATAAATATAATAATTGATTTATGAAGAAATATAATATTTTATCGTAAGTAATAATTCCAATTGTATAAAAAGGCTACCCCTAGATAAGCTCTCATTATTAAAGAATGTTAAAATGTTATATCCAAAAAAAAATAGAGTCATGTATTTAGTATGTATTTCATTATATATTAAAAAATTACAAATAAAATTCATAAGAATATATATAACGCTATTATGATTTTGTATTTGTTTTTAGGATTTTGTCTATTTTTATAACATTTTATCATATGTGATTTTCATATCATTATGTTCTATCAAATATGGATTTATATTTGTTCGTAGCATATGCTACATAACCATAAATATTTTAATCTTTCCATGTTATTTACAGTATAATTCTTAATTAAATTATTTGAAATTTCAAAAAATATATATAATAGTGTATACATAACACTTATAATATATATTCTCTATGAATAATATTTATCATGAAAATTGTCATAGAACCTATTGATTAAATTAAATATTATATTTTTCTTTATTTTATGGAAAATACGAATATATTAATTTCATTTATATAATTTATATAAATATTTATATAATTATATGTATCACTAAAGAAGTTATAACTTTTTCTGTTAATGCTATAAATTTAATGGATTTCATAAAAAATAACTTTTGTTTTCTGAGAGCTTATTAATTTCTCTTCTATTTCCACATTATATTTGAGAAGTATCATTCATATGTTATTGATATTAATTATAATATTCTAATTCGATACGTTAGATAAATTATAAAATACTTTGTTTTATGTATACCACTATAATTTATTTATTGGAAAATATAAAATTTTCTTTATTTGTATGTTATTTTAATTGTATATTATATAAGCTAATAAAATTACTTCTAAATTTATATTTTTCTAATCAGAAAAAATATATATTTATAATTAAAAATTTACGAAATTTTTTTTTTTTTTTATGTATATATGAAGCTATTACTTGGTAATAAGAATAAGTATTACATTTAACAAATACTTTCATATTTTTGAAAAGCTAAGCGTATTCAATAAAATATTTTTTTGAATGTCATTTATAATTATTCTATTATAATTAAAAATATATAGACAGAGTTTAATTAATACAAACATTTCTATGTGAAATATTGTATATTTCTGTGTATATTTTTATTAAAGTGTATAATATCCGTATGATGGTGAACTTATTTATACACAAGACGAATGTTAACATAACTAGTTTTAACATTCTACCAATGTCACTAAAATATTCTATATTTAATGATATGTACAGTTTTTCATTTTTTTAAATCTCATGGATTCTGTAAAATAAAAGAATTTATTATTAATCATTCATTCTTTTGTTAATGGCTATTTATTTTCATCTAATAATATCACATAAATGTACATATTTATTTGTTATAATATATTATGGAGTTGTAATAGAAAATAATTTTATACATGATGAAAGTACTTTATCATATCTATTTTTATTGAAGAAGAATATAATTATAGATTGAAAAACATGTGTCTATATATGAGCCACTATTTTATAATTTTTTTCAAATACACTTCAAAGAACCATGAAAAAAAGATAAATATGAAATGACTTATTAGTATCTAATGTGCAAAATATTTTGAAAATGTAACAGATACTTATGAATACCAAAAAATATAATACACCAAAATAATTATTAATACTTTTTAAATGTTCATATATTACATACATTTTATTCTTTTATAGTAAAATCAATAAACAAATATTAATTGCGTTCTAATTTTCTGAATATATTTCTTTTTTTCTTATATTTTTGTTTTGTTCTAATTGTTGTTTTCATAATGCTTCATTCTCTACGTATACACCTGACATTTTCACTATAAATATTTATAATATCTTAATTACTAGCAAAAAATCTTTCAAATATATTGATCTCATCAATATAAACTATTTATATATACATTTTCAATATTCCTACATTACTACACGCAAAATGGAGTAAGAATATTATAGAAATATATAAAGAATAATGAAAAATACAAGTTTTCCTTTTGTGTTCTTATTAAGCATTAGAGGGATTAAATTTGCGCATAAATATATCCCACTTTTTGTAATTAATTTCCTATGACCATTAAATTCCTAAATATTTTAATTCTGAAAATAACATTGTTAAAAAGGCATGGAAATGTCGTTAAAGATGATTTATGATGTTTATTATATAAAATAATAATTAATGCGTTATATCATATTTAATTAATTAGGAAAATTAAATTAAATCATAGTTAAAAAAAATCAATATATTTATATATATTATGTAAGATAACCTAAAAATTTTAATTATTTCTTTGTCTATAATGATTTAGAAAAGGGTTAATAAATTAAATATCATCGATAACAATCATTGAAGTAGATATATTTTGGAATTTTGAAATAGGAAATAAATTATAATTTCTTGTTTCATTCTACCATAATATTTTATATACAGAAAAATATGTATCTATATGTAGTAATAAGATAATTCTTAATGTATAAGGATATATAGATAAAAATTTAACTAGTTAGAACAATTTGTTCTGCGACTATTATTAAAAAATAACAATTTTCTTTAATTATAAAAGGGATAATATTATGAAAATACATAAGTTACATAATTGTGTTATTTAAATTTATTGCATCAATTATGCAATTTACTACATATCTGATAAACATGTTAATATAAAATTTAAATGAATGATTAAATGCATTCCCATTTTAGGATTTACAATAAAAGACATGACTTGGAGAAAACAATATGCATAAAAGAATTAAAAGGAATACAATACTTAAAATGAAATCATAGAAAATTTATAAAAGAAATCAATGTATATATTATTTTTGAAAAATAATATTATTATATTGAAGAAAAAATATTTTATAGAACGTATATCGTATGTAATTTGGTTAAAGACTGGTATATTAATAAAAACATATATATGATTTTTTAATTTAGACACCTGATGATTATATTTCCTGCACTCCCAATTATATAAATTTTTTAACCTATTAGTTTTCCTATATGATATATAATATTTAATATTTAACTCATTATCCTTTTAGATGATGTCGATATTCATATTTATATATGTGTTTACAAAAAATTTAAGGTTCCGTAATTTTCTTAACATAGAAAAAGAAAAAAATTTTGATGTTTATATTTGTTCTTCTTAAATAAATATAAATAATTTTTATAAGGTTATAATTATCTATATAGCATCATATATGTAATAATGCTTTGAGATATATTTAGTTTCACTATATATATATAATTAAAAATAAATGCCAAAAAAAATTTTAAAAAGAATTATATATATTCATAATTGAAAAAACTCCATATTATAATGATTTCATTTGTATTTCTTACACTACTTTTATGTAATTTCATTAAATATTTTTTATACTATTATATAATCTATCATACGCATGCGATCATGTAACTCAAGAGCTTCAATATATGCTTATGTAATTATTTAAAAGTTTAAGACAATTATATATGAAATTATTTTTACATGGAATAATAATGTGTATATAATATTTAGTCATTAAAATGTATTTTTATATTAAATCATATGATAATCGTGATGTATTTGATATGTTTTATTTGGAATATGTGATATGTTATGTGAATCTAATAACATATAAAACATTAATTTGTTTGAATTTAAATATATAGATGTCCATTTCGTCATATTATAAAAAAGGTTAAATTTGTATTTATATCTATTATTTATCTTAGGAATAAACATAATATAAATATATCTATCAATATATTTATCTGAAAATCATATCAATTCTTACATAAGATATTATTATATTTTAAATACATACAATACTGATATATCACATTCTACAAAAATTTTTCTTCGCAATCATTTCAATAAATTCGTATATCTATATAAAAACATTTATTCAAGATAGTCTTATTCTAATAATAGGTCTTATATTCAGGGTTCATATATTGAGGGATGTAAAAATAATGTAGACCTTATAAATAAATGTGTTAACATATATATCCTAAAATAAGAAATTAATTAAATCAAACATACATAACATGCCAATCATTTAAAAATGATATATTTAACAAACATAAAACATTATTTTATATTTTTTATTATAAATATATGTATATATTTTTTTTGTATTAATCATTTTTGATAAGATCTAATGAATTACTTTTTATGTTTTAGATATATAAATTATTTTAATTATATTTTAATACATAATAATATATAAAACGAATATTTAATATTTTTAGTGGAACAAATAATTTCTTTCGTAATTAATTTATGGCATTAGATCATTATGTACATGGAATTATAGTAAAAAAATAAGTAAGAAACATGTTCCATTTTCATAATGATTATAAACCAGTTTTATTAAATATTTTACCAGTCTTCGTATATAATTCCGTGTTAAATAAATGAATATAGTATTATATTTTTTATTAGATTATATTAATATATATATTATAAAAGAATTATTTCATCATATTTATAAGGAATATATATATGCTAAATATGAAATACTACGCAATACATCATTAAGGAAAATAAATGTATATGGTTTATATAATTTTATGATAAAATAATTTGTATTATAATAGTAATCCATATATAACTATTAATTTTTATATTATTTTATTTAAGCACATTTGGGACAAATATTTATATATGCAAAATATGCTTTGTGCACAATTTATGTCAAAGCATATTATATTCATATTTCATGATTTTATTTCTATTATTACGATAAGCATATAAAAGCATTATATATTTTTTGTATTATATTTATATTGTAAAATAATAATTTAAGTTGATTTCATATTAAAATTGCACCCTAAGGAACTGATAGTAAAATTAAATACCATGAAATTATAAAAATAATGCATAATATATTATGTGTGTTCTGATATTGTAAATTATCAATATAAATAACATGTATAGTAAAATAAGACATCTATTTTTTATGATATTTACAGTGAAATATTGGTTGTATGGAAATAATCATGCAATGTATTTATATTTTTCAATATCATATAATAAAA